ATAAAGTCCTAATTGAATTTAAAATAATAGTGTGGTTTAATTTGTAAAGTTGTAAAATATGTGGGTAGTATTGAAAAGTTATAAAAGTTGGTGTAAAAGAGAATATTCTGAGAATATTCTTTTGGGTTTGAGAATGAGTTTTTCGGTTGGAGACGAATTACTGCAAAATGAGTTTGAGTATGGGTTTTTCGGTTGGAGATGGTCTTATGCATAATAAAAGGCACCGCACAAAAGCCTGAGCTGTTGAGATGTCTCGACATATTTGAGGTATATGAGAGCATAGAATGAACATTACAACCGAAGACTGGATAAATCAGGACACTTGAGTCTGAACAGAACAATAAGTCTTTCTTTTAGATTTCAATAAAATAACTGCACACATTTTATACAGCCTGAAGAGCCAGATGGAGAAAGAATGTTTAACCGACTATAAAAAGAGGTAGAAAACATAATTTAACAATGAAAAAAAAAATCAGAAACAAGTCATCACAGGGGGCAGCTTCCATAGAAGTATATTCTCTTGTCAAAAAATCCAAATAATAGAAATAATAATAACAAACGAATTTTTTATTCTAGATAGTTGATTATTCCTGCCACCTAACAAATAGTGCTAATAAGCGTTCTACATTACAATCTTTGCAAAGTTACTCTGAGCATACCTGCCATAACTATGGTCATAATCATGGTCAGTTCGGTCATTTCCTATATCTATACCAGTTTCCTGCATAGGATTTTGTACCCATCCGCACTTGAGTAATCATCATCCACATTAAAATTTGTCACATTAGAAGAAGCCCGGTCGCTTGAATATTCCCAATAAGAGTTATTGTGCCTATCAAAAATACTGGCCGAGGCTCGGCCATACTCCTCATGCCTCTTTTCCACATATCTTAATTGGCCATCTTTAAGCCCCAACGCGCCGGGCTCTAGGAGAAGCTTTAGGTGCCAGTGTAATGACAATCTTGCTTTGATCGAGTTTATTGTTTGCCGACTAATTGGCGGGACTGGCTTATTTATTATCGTAATCCCGATTGCGCAAGCTGTAAAAATCAAATTATCGAAATAAGAACAAGTAATGTTATTTCGTTCTGCTTAGTTTAGTAACATATATTTGGTGAGGGAACTGTAAAGAAAATACTGGGAAAACAATCAAATGGACAAGCAGCTAAAAAAGTATTCCCTTAAAGGTAGAGTTTTTAACACACTCAAGTTTATGTGACGTTGACTTTCCCCAAGAGGTTTAACCATTTACTACTACCCTTTTTCCTGCTAGCCTGACTTGAAATTATAATTTTTTGCCTCTTCAGTTTAATGTGTACACTTGTGGTTTACTTTGTGAAAACGCAAGAAAAAGACTCTCAACGATAAACCACTTTCTGTCACAAAGAAAGCTAATTGTTCTAATGGCATGAAAATCCACGTTGCATTTAGATTTGAATATAGGTTTGAAGTATTCATGCTCTGTCAATTCAAGAAATTCAAGTAACCTTCAAAACAGTCTAAAAACAACTTTAGCATGAGCATCCAATGGATTGTTCATGTGATAGCATTAAAAACCTCATCGTGTATGAAATTATACATTTCACCTTGGATTCTAAATATATAGATTCCTTTGTTGCGCTTGCTCAATTCTTTATCGTATCTAACTTGTTTTGCGCTTGCTCAATTCTTTATCGTATCTGACTCCTTTTGTGCTTCCTCAATTCTTTATCGTAACCAACTCCTGAAGGTGTGAAAGCGAATTGGTTGTCTAGTGTTCTTATACACTTCTGAAAGAATTGGGCCTTAGACGATCACGAGAAGAGCAAATTTTTCAAAAAAATAAAAACAGAAAAAAATAACGGGTAAAGAATGGTTTGCAAGTCAATAGTACCTCCAGAACAACATAATTTTGGAGTTTCATACTGTAATTTATTTGTACGTCTCGGTTGCCTCGCAAGAGGGGCTGCACTTGTCGGAACAAGCTGCAACAGGTGGTAGTCGTCTCTCTGCACACGTCTTGAAAAAAAATAGTCGGACAAGTGAAGCTTGATTGTGTCTCCAATTTAAACGCAGAGATATGCCATAAGAAAAAAAAAAAAGGGTGACAAAATACTTGAACGGTTGCTCCTACTATTGGAGGTACCTGCAAGACCCGCAGACGGAGATGCAAAATCGAGAGCAAGAGCAAAACACCAACATCAAAAAGGAAATACTTGGCAAAACGAAGATCCTGAATAAAAAAGGATAATCACAAATAAACACATGTGCGGGCCTTTGAAGTGGAGGCTACATCCACTCCTACCTGGTTGCGCTCCCGACGGTGGGAGGTGGAGGAGTTTAATCCTTCGCAATAGCGGCGGTGGTTGTGGTCCGATCTGGATGGCGTGAGACGCCACCTCTCAACCGTAGTTGCGGCGGCTGCGGAGGGCTGAGGTGGTGGTGGTGGAAGGGCAGATCTTGGGTTTTACTAGGTTGAAATGGAGCTGCCCGATGTAAATTATTCAGAAAATAAAAAAAGAGAGCTAGGGTTTGGCAATTGGGAGGAAGAATGGTTCTTCTCGTTCTCAACCTTTTCTATCTTTTCACTTTTCAGTACTTGCGTGCGGAAGTGATCAAATAAAGCTAGCAAACTATAATCATTAATGACCATTGTAGCCCCTTACAAAGTACATGAAACGGTGTCGTTTGATTATCTCAGTAGGTTATAGAAAGAAAGTACCACGGGACATTTTTGTAAGCGAGAAAAGGAGAAAACAAAGAAGTGAAAAGAGGGTGACGTGTTCGCCGAAGAGCTCCTCTCCAAATACAAGAATGTTGCCATGTGTCAACTCAATAATGCCTCTCATATTTTCTTATAAGAATACTAGATTTTCTCACGCCGTGCACGCACGGCGGTCTAACACTCCGTGTAAAACTACAGTAAAAATTTGTCGTGAAAGTTTGTCGTCTCTTGAATGCTCAGCCGAATTTACACATATATTTTAAACATTGTTAATATTTGATAAAGATGAAGCCTAACATTCAGTCTAAAACTACAGTGAAAATTTGTCATAAATTGTTGCAGCTTCTATTCTGGCGTAAGTTGCAGTTGCTCACATATATTGTGTCTTTTTTGTTTTGATGACAAATTTGAATACACAAAAACAATGTCAAAGATGAGTAGGTGTACCTCACTGTAAAGAACAAAGTAATATAAGATAATGGAGGAGCCTAAAATTAACATTGTTAGAGAAAGAAGATATAGTTATCGGCCCAAATATATATTAAATATTTATCTCACAAAGAAACCACAAAGAAGGTCAATACGAACTTGAAATTCTGTTTTGTAACGGAATTCTGGATGGCAAACTGGATATATGTCCTCTCCAAATTTCTCTGATTTCCACTGTGCTGTAATTTCATTTCCGCATGTAAGACTTAAATACAAATGACTAATAAAACATGAACTGAACCTTTAACATCACCTCTTTTGTATCAGTCCTTTCAAATGGCACCACTCTTCTACCATGGTCACCGGTAGCTAGATGATGACCAGATTTGTCAAACTCAATTGCAGAGATTATATGAACTGCAAAATTCAGGGGGCACCGGGTAGCATACTTCATCTGAAATAGGAAAGCAGAAATAACTGCCTCCTTTAATTGATAATTTACTGAAAGCCAAGTCTTTCACCCATTTTCACAGTACCGTGATCGAGTATCCATTTTCTTGATCGAGCGCATGCATTATTGTTCTTCATCCCTTCCCCTAATGTAAGCGGGCAAATGTAATTGAGAGGTGTGCAGAACATGGTGTTGCGGCCTTATATGGGTAAATCCCATCCACCGTCTTCATTCTGTAATTCAAAAGCCGCCACAAGTGTGATGCGATGAACCTAATTGAGATGCAGCGCTTAGGTCCCTCTCGGATACGGAAACAATAAAAGAGTACAAGGTTCAATGAATAAAAGAAAAATTGCAGTAGATTAAAATATAAGCTACTAAAAATTTAAAGAAAACTCATTTAGATTCCCTAATCGGAAGCTTTGTACCATGTGACAATTGTTTGAACTAACCTCAAACAATAAAAGTAAGCAGTTGTAACACATTGAGTGCTATCAGAGATTTTCTAAGTAAATATAAGTAAATTCAGTAAGTATCAAAACCATCAATAAAATACGGCACTCATTAAAATTGTCTAGACCTAACTAATGCAGGCACTCTTGAACAAACACACAGCCAAAAAGAAGAACAAAAAAAAGAAAAAAAAAATGGGTACTGAAAACAACCGGTTACGACATCTGCTACGTATAGTATAATCGTATGAAGACTTATGTTCGAAAACTATAACTAATCAACTAATTTTCTATACAACAAGAAAGTCCAAAACATGGATTAAAAAAAAAAAAAAAAAAAAAAAAAAAAAAA